CTTCGAGCCCGGGCCCGGAGCGGCCACGCCCCCTCAGGTACGCGCCTGCCCGCCGGGGGTCACGTCGCGCCGGGCGAGTGCTGCTGGGCGTTGGGGCCGCGGTTGGGACAGCGGACGGGCACTAAGGGCTGGTGCTGGGACACGGCTCTCACGTGTCCTTAAGGTGCCGTGCGAGTCCTTTGTGCCCTCCCACTCTCAGGTCACTGTCCTTGGAGGGTCGATTCCTGGGCTCCGCGGACCAGCAGGGCAGAAAAGCAGACCCTCAGGTCCAGCCACAATCCCAGGCACCCCAGCAACCTCCACACCTTCCCAGGCGCCGCCCATTGCCCACGTGTTTCGGGCCCCTACCCCCTCAGCCGCGGGACTCCCGGGCCCTCCCACCTTCTCTGGCGGGCGTAGTGAGCGCTTGGGCGGCCCGCACCTTACGCGGCCCTCACCCTTCACACTCCATCCCGCCTGCCCAGTGTGGACTTTAGATCCCGGTACCCCCACCTAGTGACCGCCCAGCCTCCCCTGCTGCTGCTGCAGTCTAACGACCATCTCGAAGAAAGCGCCCTCTACCTTTAGGGAAGCCCCGCCTTCCGCGAGACCCCACCTCTCAGCAAAGCCCCGCCCTTCGACAGCCCTGCCCCCGGGAGCTCCCTCTTTTCCTCAGTCTCTCCCCTTCAGAGGGCCCTTTCTTGTGTGTGTCACTGCCACCATCAGGGTGGACCAGCCCCCTCAGTGCGAGACCCTTTCCTCCGTGTGTCCCTCCCACGCAGTGAGCCCCCCACCTCTGACTCTATCAGTCATTGTGACCCCTCCTCTCACAATGACTCCTCCCCTCAGTGTGGCACAGCCTCCATCTGCGTGACCCCTCTCAACAGGTTCCGCCCTCCAGCCCGCAGGAATCCGGCTGCCCCCTCCGACCGGAGGAGGAGCTGCAGTCCCCTTTAAGTAGGCGCCTGGTCCGGAATGCGCACGCACTGGCTCAGGGCACCGTGCCCTCGCCTTCCGCAGTGCTACTGGTTCTGCCGTTGGCTTCCCTCCCTCTCCGCGCGTCATCGCGAAGTAGCCAATCATCGCCAGGGGTTGGGTGACGTCACTCGATCCCTGCGGACGGCTCGGGCCGAGCGGTTTGCGCCGTTGGTGAGCAGCCTGCCCCCTGGAGGCTGAGCGGAGGGCGCGGGCCTGCGGAGCGGAAACGGGCTGAGAGGAGTCTGAGGGAGTCGGGCAGACTTTCGGTGGGGAGACACAGAAAGCGATTCTAAGCCTAGTCGGCCTCTGTGGACGAGCCGCTCCCAACGGAGTCCTGCCGCCTGGCTGCGAGAGTCGCATTGCCGCGGGCTGGCGGGAGAAGGCGCTCTGATGACGCTCTGGTTAGAGCGCTCAGCTGCGAACCAAAAGGCCGGCTTCTCCGTGGAAGAAAGATGTGGCAGTGGGCTTCCGTAACGAGGTCAGCCTTGGGAAGCGTGTGCGCCCTGCACGGTCGCTGGGCGTCGGAGGAGAATGGTGGCAGTGGGTTCGGTGACTGTGAAAAGCAGAATGGCGGTCTTAAACGATCGCTGATGCCTCAGGACCAAGAGGAGGCCGGATGCTGACTGGGCGCGAGGGAAGTTTTCACCGAGCTGTGGAGGGTGAAGCGCGGCGAGGGATGAATGGCCACCCGAGCCGAACGGACACCGTGCGCGCCCTGTCCCCGGCGCATGTGCAGCATATTCATTTTCCGGAGGCAGAACCAGCTGACTCGCCACGTTGGTTCACCTTAGCAACCTGTTGGTCAGCCGTCCAAGCGCTCGTGCCACCGGGATCCTCGCGCCAGGATCCAGCCCTGTTGGAATACCAAACCCCTGACCGCAGTTTTCCGACTAACGGCGACCCCGTGTTACAGAGCACTGTGCTCTGCAGGGATTTCTTGGCTGTGTCTTTCTAGACACAGATTGGCAGGCCTCTCTTTTGCGCAGATGGGTGAATTCAAACTGCCGAATTTTCTGACAGTTGGGAGCTGTGGTATAGTACCTAAGGCACTTGACTGCTAGCCAGAAGGCTGGCGGTTCAAATCCCCCAGCCACCCAGTGATACCGCCTTGGAAACCCAAGGAGGGGTCGCTAAGCACAAACCGTGTGTGCCCCCCGGGGCCTCATACAATAAGCTCTGTGAGCACTAGGCATATTTGCTTTGTTTTAATCTAAGTAACTGAATAGATCATCAACCTGGGGTCCGACGCCTTATCCAAGTATGAGAATTACTGTGCTAGGTGATAGTAAGTCTAAGGGGAGGAGTCGGCTTCCTGTATTATAAGGATCACTGTGGAGCCAGTGAGGCTGGTCAGGAAGGAGGTGTGACAGTGGCCCACTCAAAGAGGATGAGCTAGTATCTCAGGCCAGTCACCCTGTGGAGAGAACTGTCAGCCAGTATCATTCTTAGGCTCCTGGCTTAGACTGGGGGGCATTAATGGAGCTGGGAATCCAGGAGGAGGAAGGGTTGGGTCGGATCATGGGGGAGGGGGATGATGTTCACGGCACAGGGGTGACAGTGCCAGGAACCTTCGGGTGGATGCCAGCATTGGAGGGAGGAATGCTCTGACAGGACTGTGGTGAATGCCCACAGTAGGGTGGGCGGAGGACAAGGAGACCGAGAAGAGACAATCTGGAAAATGTGCCATGAAATCCAGGGAGCAGAGAGGTTAGGAAGAGTGGGATGGTCAACAGCGTGAAGTGGTTCAGAGGGTCTGCTGAGAGAAGAATTTAAAATGTCCCTTAGGCTGTTAGAAGACCCTTTTGTGGTTCTTAGACTTTTTAGGATGGCAAGTGTCAAATATATGTGTATGGATACATTTCGGAGACTCACTCTGCCATTCCTTGTACCATTCCATAGGTGATCTTCCATCTTGTTGAATACTGGGTATAAGTTGTGGTAGCTCTGGATTCTCTCTCACACAGAGTTGTCCTTTGTTGAGTAACTCGCCTGGACTGAAACTGTGAAATGTATCTCCTCTGCAGCGTGTAGCCACTGATGCCTCTGCCCAGGTCTTTCCCGCTTGTTTTTGAGTCTGGCTTCCTGGAGGCCTTGCGTGTGGCTGCATTTTACTGATTAGGGATCGTGCCCAGTACCACCAGCCAGTGAGGCTTCCACTCTGCTGGTGCATCTGTCACAGGCAGAGGTCACCTTCAGAGTTCAGGCACTTTGCAGTCCACCCTGCTTTTACTTTCCACCTGGCCCTGTTGGGCTCTTTTGTCTCCTTTGTGTACATGCACAGGCTCTGTTGATCAGGGATGTGGAGGTGGCTTGAGTCCACTCTTGTCTCTGCTGTGTGTTCCCACAGTCTGCAGAGAGCTTTGTAAACCCTCTAAGGCCTTCATCTTTGATGAAGATCAACGACTACAGTCATTAGTATGGATCACACCTGAACATAAAGAAAACCAAAATGAGGACAACTGGACCAATAAGCAACATCATGATAAATGGAGAAAAGATTGAAGTTGTCAAGGATTTCATTTTACTTGGATCCACAATCAACGCCCATGGTAGCAGCAGTCAGGAAACCAGATGTTGTATTGCACTGAGCAAATCTGTTGCAAAAGACCTCTTCAAAGTGTTGAAAAGCAAAGATGTCACTTTGAGGAGGAAGGCACACGTGATCCAGTCCAGGGTCTTCAGTAGCTTCATGTGCATGTGAAAGCGGGACAGTGAATAAGTAAGACCAGGAGAAATGGATGCATTTGAATTGTGGTGTGGGTGAAGAATATTGGAAATACCACGGACTGCTAGGAGAATGAACAAATCTGCCCTGGAAGAAGTGTAGCCGGAATGCTCCTTAGAAGTGAGAATGGCTAGACTTTGTCTCACATACTTCAGTTGTGTTGTCAGAGGAGTCCATTCCCTGGAGAAGGATGTCATGCTTGGTAAAACAGAGGGTCAGTGAAAAAGGGGAAGGCCCTCAACAAGGTGGATTGACACAGTGGCTACAACGATGAGCTCAAGCACAGCAAGACTTGTGAGGCTGGTGCAGGACAGGGCAGGGTTTCGTCCTGTTGTCCATGTGGTTGCTGTGGTCGGAGCTGACTTGATGGCAACCAACAACAGCAACCAACAAGGTTCCTGGGTGTGTTCGGGTACTAACCAAAAGGTTGATGGTTCGGCTCCATCCAGTGGTGCCACTGAAGGAAGGCCTAGCAATCTGCTTCTATGAAGATTACAGCCAGGAAAACCCCCTGGACCTCAGTTTTCCTCTGTAACGTGGGGTCACCAAGTCAGAGTTGACGGCAGTGTTTTAAGGCTGTCTCACTTTCTGGAACCCCCTGTTGGGTCTAATGGTCCAACGTTTGCCCCAAGAGGCCCGTAGTCTCAGGCTGGCAGAGCCCCTGGTCCTCCTGTCACTTTGCCACGGAGATAGCCAATGTACCTGACAACACTTCAGATCAAGTGAATGCTTTTCAGCAGCAGCGGCGAAGCGTCACACTACCTTCCTAGGACACTGCAGTAGTTGT